GTAGGGAAAACAGATGCTTAAAAGCTCATGAGCTGGAATGCGTAGGATATATGGGGCATCATGGGAGTAAACAACTCTGCCTGCGGGAACATTACGTAGTGATGTACTTGGGAGGGTCCTTGATCACATGTAGGGGTGTGCTGGGGAGTTACTATCCTTAGCCTGGATTTTCTGAGACATTAATCTCTTAACTTTTTATTTATCCCTGATTTAATGGCACTAGTGTCCTAGAACTGGTGATGTGAAAGGAACCTGGGACTGGGCATCAGGATATCTGTATCCTAGTCCCAGTTCTGGCTCTAATAGGCAATGTGCTTTGGGCAAATCAATGCTACCTCCCTAAACTGGCCCACCACCATCTCTCACCCACATACTGTCAAGGCCCCCATTCTGGCCACCTCTATTCCCTTCTACTTATGGCAGCCAGTGACAATTTAAAACAACAACAACAACAACAAAACACAAATCTGGAGAAACTTGGCAGACACTACTTTAATCAAATGATCAAAGTTAACATTATTAATAATGGGACAAACTGACATGATGTGTCTCCTGATACTATGCACTAAAAAGGACACAGCATCGCTTATGGAGTAGTCCTGCCAAAAATGTATAACCTGAATGTAATCATGAAGAAACATCAGACAAGCCCAAGTTAAGGGACATGACTCTAAATGGAGTGTGTGATCCTGAATTGAATCCTGGATCACAAGGAGAAATTGGATAATTGGTAAAATTTAAAAATAGACTGTATATTATTTAATAGTATTACATCAATGTTAAATTTCCAATGTTAAATTCAATGTTAAATAAGACAATGTTCTTATTCTTAGGCAACATATACTGAAGCATTTAGGGGTAAAGAAGCATGATGTCTGCAACCTAACCTCAAAGGGTTCCCCCCAGAACAGAAGGTATATGTGTGTAGACAGAGAAAAGGAGGGAATGTTAGCCATGGTGAATGCGGATGAGGAGGATACAGGAATTCTTTAACTATTCCTGCAACTCTTCAACCCATTCCCCCAGCCCCGCTTGGTCCTTCTCCAAGGACACTCCAGAACCTCAAGTCAGATGGGAGCCCCTCTCCCCATAGCATTCTGCTGGGCTCTTGGTCAGCTGAGTTGGCTTTGAACCAATTGTTTGAAGATAAGCATATATGACCCCGAGGGGCAGGGACTGTGTCTGATTCCTTTCTGCATCAGTGTCTGGAACAGGGTTGGTACAGTAAGTACTTCAGGAGACTGATACATTCTGTGTGACCTCTGGGTAGAACCAGGACCATTAGGTAGAAAGAGAAAGGACGTAGGCTCCAGGCTGACCAGAGTGGGGGGAGCAGCAGTCTGGCGAGAGTAAGGTGAAGTCCCCCTCCAAAGGTGTGCAAACTGAAATTGTAATAGGTGACTTGAAAGTCCCTCACAATCCAGAGAAGCAAGCGGTTAAAAACCTTTGCCTGGGTTTGAGCAATGTTGGGGTGGGTATAGATTTATTCATTCACTCATTTAATGAATATTTACTGAGAGCCTGCTGTATGCCAGACACTTCTAAATTCTGTGGATAAAGTGGTAAAACAGACAAAATTCCCTAACCTCAGGAGTTTGCCTTCTAGTGAAAGAGTTAATTATTGAAAGCTTACATTATTCTCAGTGCTTTAAATGTATTCAACTAATTAATTCTCACAACCCTATTTGTAGGTATTATTGTTGTTGTTGTTATACAGAGGCACAGAGAGGTTAACTAAGTTGTCCAAAGCCACACAGCTGTTTGAATGCAAGTGGCCTGGCCCAGACTCTTATCCGCTACCCCATCCCCTCTATTATTTGGGAGGAAGGGGGCAAAGTGGTCAGCTGCCAGCTCCATGGGTGAGCCTGTGCCCAAGGAGGGCCTGCAGAGGGAGAGCCCTGAGTCTTCCAGGCTCAGCCCTTGGATCAGGAGGGTGGACACATCTACACTGTTTGAACCACACTGAGCTCTGGGGTACCTGGGGTTTGTAAGAACAAGAAGTTATTGTTCATGGTCTTGGTTACTGTCTCCTCCTCTTCCTCCAAGGTTTTAGCAGTCGGTACCATTCATTAAATTCATCCAACAAATATTTTCTGAGCACCTACCATGTGCTCAGCACTGTACTAAATACTGAGGAAGCAGCAGCAAATGGGCCAGAAATAGGCTCCAGCTCAAGAGGACTTTTGCTTTATTTAACACTCACAATTGCTCGGTAAGTATTATATCTCCACTTTACAGGTCAGGAATCTGAAGCTCAGAGAGGTGAAGTGACTTGCCCAGAGACACCTAGCTGGAAAGGAATGGAGCTGGATTTGTACTGTGGTCCACCAGACTCTGGAGCCCCTGTACTTTGCTCTGTGCCACACATCTCCGGGGGGGGGGGTGGTGCGGGGTGGGATGGAGGAAAGGGGGACAAGACCTGGGGTAAGGACAGTGCTTGGCTTCAGTTTTCCCCTCCTTTCTAGGCCCTAAACCCTCCTAAAGTCAATCTCAGCCCATTTTGTCCTGGCTATATCTCCCCGTCACTGCTGCTGCCCCATCTCCAAAATCCTAGGAACACCAGTCTCTTTGTTTAGCAGGGGCTCCTGTTGTGGCCTGGGGTAAGACTCCTGGCCTCAGTTTTCTCGTCTTTAACAAGGGGAGTGAGGAGTATCTTCAGGGGCCACCTTGAGGTTTAAATGAGATCTTACTGCTCAGGGGCCTTAGAGCTGTGCCTGGCATCTGTGAGAGGCTGGGTCACTGGGCGCCCCAAGGCACTGCAGGGATCCTCCTCAGGGTCAGAAGCTCCCAGGCCCCAGGCACACCCTCCCCAAACTTCTAACTGATGCTCTCCCACTCCCCCTTAGTCCCCGAGGACACACACACTCCGAGGTCTGTCTCCGTCCCATCCCCTTCTTCCGAAGGTGCTCAGGTCAGGACCGGTCGCACCAGCCTGTGTCCCACCCACTCGAGTCTTGCACACCCGGCCGAGTAGGGCACCCCAGCCCTGCTCACGAAACAGACGTCGGCTTTCGTGCCCGGCATCCGTGCACCCTTGATCTCCTGCCCCAAAGGCTCAGCCCGGTACTCCCGCACCCGCGGGCACCTAGTCCCGGGGGCAAGGGAGAAGCAGACCCAGGCACTGCCGCTCGTACTAGCATAGCCCCTACAGCAGCAATGCCCTCGGGGCAAGCACCAGCTTCTCCAGCTGCAGGGGCCCTCTTCCCGTGGGCGGACCCAGCCTCTCGACACTGTTCCTCAGGGTGTGCACGGCCCCCTCTCCCCTCCCGACCCCGCCTCCCCGGCCAGCCAGCACGGCTCCCACCCCAAGCCAGCGCAGCCCTAAGGGCGAACACGGCCCCCCTCACCCCAGTTTGCCCGCCCAGCCCAGGCGCCCGCTCAGGCCGCTCCCTGGCCGGGCCCGGCCCGCGCACCCCGGAAGTGGGAAGGTGGCACCGATGGAACCGGCCCCGGGACCCTCGCTCGCCCGAGCGTAGCCTCGGGGGTCTCTCCACACCGGTGCCGCCTTGGTTCGCGCCCCCTCGGGCCCGCGCGGGGCTTACCTGTCCCGCCAGGTGAGCCGCCTCCAGTTCGGCCCCTCCCCCCGC